ACTTCAAAGTGTTAATGATTACATATAAAGCCCTAAACGGTTTGGGACCTCAATATTTGGCAGATTGCCTCCTCCCACCCAGATCTACCCGAATCACCCGACATAACCAGCAGGGATGGCTGAGGGGATTGACGCCGAGGTAGGCCCGGAAGGAGAAAACAAGAAACCGGGTCTTCTCGGCGGTTGCCCCTCGGCTGTGGAACACACTTCCCACTGAAATCCGGCTGGAACCCTCGCTGGGTGTGTTCAAAAACCAACTAAAAACTTGGTTATTCACATGCCTTCCCCCGAGTCACCTAAGTTCTTTTCTTTCCTTTTCTTCTGGTTCTTAATTTTGCCATCTTGGATAGTATTAATTATAATAATTGCACTATGCTCATTATTTGACGTTGTCTTAATGTGTTTTAATCTTTGTAAGCCGCCCCGAGTAGACGTTGTCTAGAGGGGTGGGGTAAAAATTGAATGAATGAATGAATGAATGAATTATGCGTATCCCTGGGGAAATGAATACAAATACAAATAGCATTACTCTATATACCATGTGACCACAAGAAAATGTGTCAGTACAACAAAGGGATGAAATGAGTATAACTGGAGTTCTTTTCTCCAGCGAACTCATTGGGGTCCTCGGCCAAACCGCTCCTGATCCGTGGGTCTCTGTAGTAGGGCGCTCCATACTGCACAAATGGTGCCACAGCATGGATGCCGGGCCCAGTCACCTTCCTTTAACAGAGTGTTGTACCTCGCGTTGGACCGGATCACCTGCTTCCCATGTCCCTGGATCCTGGGAAATACGATCACCATCCACTCCTGGGACTCATGGATGATTTCTCCCTCTGGTTTAGGGGTCGGGTCTGGCAACAGTCCACCCTTCTTCAAATTAGGGAAGTCTTTCAGCAACTCCTGTGTTCTCTTAAATTCCCTTTCTTTACGCTTCTCCTCTTCCCATTGTTTCATCCTGCTTTCCCACTCTGCCCCAAACCAACATTCTCCTCGCTCATTTATACTTTCCTCCCACACTGACAGTTGTTGCTCCTCCCCTCTCTTCTTCCCGCTTTCTTCCACCAGACAAATCTCTACCTTCCCATTTTTCTCCTTTGATTCCAATTTGTATTTTCCCGCCTTTTCTACCGCCTCTTCTAAACGCTCACTTTCTCCCGCCTTTAATGTCATCTTTTCTATAACTCCACTTTCAATACTCTTTTCTATCTCTTCTATCCCTGCTTCAATCACAACGGACGGCACACTCTCGCTCATCTCTCCTTCGCACTCAGTGTTCTTTTCAGATATATTTTTAAATAGCACAGCCTGTTCATGTCATTGTGATCTTATTTTTAAAGTCAAGCATGTCTAGCATAGTTCTGTCAATGTTCTTGAAAACTCTATTACAGTTGCTGTAAGTTGTATGTGATATTATGGCACATAACAAAACAACAACAAAAAGCTTGTCATTGCTAAGAAGCAAAAAACTAGAAACATCTGGTTCCCTTTCTTAGAAAGTAATCTCTACAAAGTCATATTCATGGCCACAGCTAAAACATAATGTGCTACGTTTAAAATTGCTACTTTTGTGTTAGACAGATGTGCAGCCAGTCTTAAGAAAATTACTTTTGAAAGTAGCATGAAAAATGTTTAACAGAATATAATTCTTTTAATATAAACAAGTTAGGCTAACACATTATTTCCAAGTTGTGGTCTAGCTCCCAGGCTCCTTGGTCCTTACATGTAAAGGCTGATTGTTAACTGTGTTTTCCACTGACCTGGCACAACGAACGCATTGAGCCCCTCAAGCATGCCGCATTCCAACACTGCTGCTTCTGATCCCTGTTTCTGCTCCAAAATGGAAGCAAGAGCTGGATCTTTAGTTTGAAAATTGGGGTTTTTGCCTGTTGCTGGCTTCTTTCTCTGCTGACTACATTCAGTTGCACAAGAACTGCCTTACCTAACTCCTTGAAAGCTTTGAAAAAAAAATACTTTTTGTTCTATAGTTAATAGACTCCCACTTCCACAATGATCAGTGGCAGACTAACTGAGGAATTCTGGTAACTATAGGCAACAAGGCTTCCCCTACACCATCCATGTCCTATTCCACGCACTCATCTTTGGAAATGAAATACCATTCCCCAATTTCCTTGCAAATTTACCATACACAGCTGAGGATTTACTATGTCCACCAACTAGCTAACATTTTCTCTGCCCACACCCAATGGTATAAAATAAGAGTAGCTTACCTGTTGTTTACACCCCCAACTAAAATTAAAACAAAACAAAAAACTAAAAAACTGTTGCATTTCCTCCTTTTACCAGTTTAGGGTTGCAGCAGAAGGACAGCTCTGAGCAAGAAAGAAAGCTAGAAAGGCCATAACAGCCTTACAATCCAACCAGTCCAGATATGATGAGCAGACCAGCTTAATAGCTGTGGCAGGGCCCCATTTGAATCTCTGATAGGTCTGTTAGATATAAGAATCAATTCATCAGATTTGCCAGTGTTTGGGTCTGTTTGTTTTTCTTGTTCCCTTCTTATCTTATGGGCTGTGAAACGTCTGGCCACAAACCCTGCTGTGTCTTTAAGAAGAAGAAGAAAATATGTGTGTGTGCCTTTGCAAGGGAGGACCTGAACGCGAGTTCCACAGAGTGCTGAAGGAGACACAGTTCAACAGCTACTCTTATCCCTTTGTCTGTCCATGTGAGAGTAGAGCGAGCCTGATGAGACAATGTCCCACTTGCCTTAATAAACTAGCCTTCACTAATAATGCTTTATACTAGGACAACACAGGGATGTGGAGTAAACACAGTATGGTCCTCTATCTCCCCTCTTCTCCTGGCTTCGGGCCTATAAGACACATCTGAACAGGAGACATCAGAGCATCTGTCTGCATGTGTGTGTCAAGATGTGAAATTTTGAATTATAGAATGTTAAAATATAATTAAGGAGGATGTAGAAAAAGGAGCCCTGAAAAGTGTACATTGTGCTTTTAAAATGAGGTTTGAACAACAATTTGTGAAAGGCACTATGAAATAATGAGCCAGCTTTCCATCTAAGTCTACAAGCAAAGTCACTCTGAACAAAAACATTGCCTCACAAAAGAATGTCTTTTATGGCTAACATTTCAGTGCGGACATTAAAAAGAGACTGAATTGAAAAGATATTGAAATAATTGTTTTGTAATATGTTAAGCATTAGCATGACAGATAGGTAGTAGTGGCAGGTCCCGTAATTTGCTCTGTTTTATTTTACTAGATCCCTGTAGTTTCCACCCATTGATATCTGTAGGCTGTGAAACTCTTAAGACAAAAAATAATGTTTATCATCATAATGGCAGCTTGCCAGATTCTGAATTACAGGCATTTTATATTACAGGAGATGCAAAAGCAATGGAAATCCTTATTTTCAAAATGATGCTGGTTCATTACTTGTAGGTCTTGGAAAAGAGAATGTTCATCGTTTAAAAGAGAAATTGTTAACATCTGAGATAAATATAAATACAGAGAGGCTGGAGAAACACACACATCATCATTGCCATAGCAACACATGTTATGCCACACACTGGAAACCAACAACAATCTAGCAGCAACAACAGTAGCAGCAGCAAAAGAAAACAAAGAAAACATGGATTTTCCTCCAAAGATTCAAACTGATTTGGCTGGGTGAATGTTTAAAATTATTTTCTTTGTGTGGTCTTAATATGCTTAAAGGCTAAGAAAGCTGTTGGGTTTAATATGTTTTTATTATTAAGAACTTTGGTATTTTAAAGATGTATTATCTGCTTTTACAGTGTGCTTTTTAGTCTATAAGCTCTTGCATTTTTAGAATATAATTCAAACATTTTTATTGTTCTTTTTTACTCTTAAAATATATTTCTTCTGTATTTTCAGTTGAATTAATATTTGGATTGTATTTTGTATTTGTATTTTGGATTGAATTGAGTATTTGCCTACAACATAAGTTTAGTCTTCATATATAGTCATGTGAAAAAGAAAGCACAGCCTCTATTAATTCTATAGTTTTGCATAACGGAACATAATAAAAACAATCTGGTCCTTAGCAAGCCTGGAAATTAGGTAAATACAACTTCAGAGGAAAAACAACACATGGCATATTAAACCATGACATGACTTATTTTACAAAAAAAAAAAAAAAAAAAAGCCAACATGGAGAAGTTGGGTGTGAAAAACTAACTACACTCTTATGGCTTCCATATGAATTAAGAGGCTAAGTAGAAGCCAGGTGCTGTTAGCCAAAGGCCTTTGAGTAACTGATCACCAGCAAGTGTGGCTACCTCTACAAAAGCTGGAGTTTTAGCTGTTTACTGGTCTAGACTAGAGCATTCATGTATATGTTAACATAATGGCAAGGACGAAACACATCAGTAATGATTGCAGAAAAACTATCATTGCTGCCTATCAATCGGGGAAGGGTTAGAAGGCCATTTCCAAACAACTTTAAGTCCATCATTCTACAGTGAGGAAGATTATTCAACAGTGGAAAATGTTCAAGACAGTTGCCGATCTTCCCAGGAGTGGATGTCCAAGCAAATTCACCTCAAGGTTAGACTGTGCAATGCTTAGAGAAATTGCAAAAAAATCCAAGAGTTACATTTCAGACTCTAAAGGCCTCAGTTAGCACGTGAAATGTTCATGTTCTACAAGCTTTTGATTGAATCATAAGGTTTACTTGGTTTTTCACACATAGTTGCTCCATTTTGGCTTCATTTTTGATAAATCATGACACACTATAATATGTCATCTGTTGTTGTTCATCTGAGGTTGTATTTAACTCATTTTCAGACCTGCTAAGGACCAGATGATTCTTATTATGTCTTGAGACGTAAATTCAAAGAATTCAGAGGGTGTAATTTCGTTTTCACTTGATTGTATATTAAAATATATGTGTCTACAGTTTTCTTCACAGCTGTAAAACCTTGGATTTTTGCAACTTTGAAATATTTTTCTACATATGGAATATAGAAGCAATGCAGATGAAGCTTCTAAAATTAGACAATGTAATGTTGTCTAGAATTATTACAACAGTGAAAAGACATACCTTGCTACCCACATGAATTTTGATATGACTGGAAGTTATTGTGTGATTTCACTGAGGAATCACCCCTTTTTGGGTTAAATGCCAGCTCTAATGAACACAACTTCTGATTTTTCCTGTGAGATTTGTAAAGTTCTGTAGGATTCAGCTGTCAGACTTCTCTAACCTGACATCTTTCTCTTCATTATTGATTGATTGATTGATTGAAAATGAACAAATTATTCAGTAGCTCGTTTATAGATATGTGATTTGCTTTGAGTTTTATTTTTATTTAATGGGGTGATGAGAAGATGATGGAAGGATGAATAAATTATGCAGTGATCATAGTGTTGATGGATTTACTTTTGTAAGAATAATAAAAGATGGAATCTATTTTTCTGTTATAAAATATTTAGTATTCTATCATATTTCCTAATTGTAGGCTGAATTAATAACTCTATCTACTTCTAATCTCTTTTACCAAGGGACACATTTGCCAGAGAACAGCATTCCACATTGAAAATGACTGCAATATAAGACAGGAATAAGACTTTGTCATTCATACTGATGTACATCAGCATTTTAATTCTGCTCCTGCCGGAGGGGAGATACCGTCATGGCCACTCTGACATTGGAGGCAGCTGCTCTAAACAACATTGATGTGCTTAATCCAAACCAGACTCTAAGGCTTTTGAATCAAGAAGTTATTTCCCTTCCTGCACTCTCGCCCCTCCCCATCCATTTTACTGTGAATGATCAGCTGTAACAATCTGTACTCTTGTACTTGCTGTGTCTTGTTATGTGGCCAAAATATTCTAGCTTCCTGCCTTTTATGTGTTCCATGATTTCTTTTTTGGCCATATTCCAACTCAGAAAGCTTTGGCGGTTGCATCCCTGCAAGGGGTGAGGATAAGCAATACAGGTGAGGTTCTTTGTCACTGATACCAATGTGGCCATTTTTCCACCAACCATACAAAGCACAGCTCAATATTTTGCATGCCTATTGAAGGGTAATCCCTAGTAAAATTGTGCTCTTGTCTGCTCTCCAGCTTGCACACTATAGCCCAGTTCTATGTAGATTATTTAAAGTCTGGATGCTTCTCTTATCTAGGGTTGCCAGGTCAGAATTATCGCATTCCCTATTATTTCAAGGCCAAAACCTGATGTCAGAAATGTGGGGCACTGTGATATTACAGCAATCACAGAGGTAGCAGGTGAAAACTGCCAGTGGGCCAATTGCGCAAATGGACACAGCGGGTGGCCAGACAAATAGGCCCAGAATCCTGGTTAAACTGGTCTACCAGGTGATATGGCAACCTGGAACAATGAGGCAAACCTTTTTGTTGTTGCAGTTTTAAATTTCTGGTAAAATTCTTTTTGCTACACAGTAGAAGTACAGAGACTCAGAGGAGAACTGCTACAAATTCCACTCCTTTCTTATTAACTGGCACCTGAAGTCTCAATAACTTACTCTGATATATTTGTAGGAGAAAGAATTTTTTAATCAAACATCTCTATTGACAGTTGCTTGAAATTATTGACAATACTGTTGTTGTTGTTGCTGTTGTTGTTGTTATGTGCCTTCAAGCCAGAACCAACTTACAGTAACCTTAATAGGGTTCTCAAAGTGAGATATTTAAAGAGTAGTTTTACTAGTTTCACACCCCCAGTGAGGTGTGGCCAGACAGGAAGCAAAATGCATCCAGGAATTGCTGTGGTTTCCACCATTCCCACTAGGCCTTATGTGCAGCACATGACACTTGAGGAGACTTTGTAGGCAGCTACAAGCTTTGTGAAAGGCTTCTCTCCAGCCTGTTAGGATCTGTGTCCTCCACTGGACGCTGCCCTGCTGCCGCCAGCATTTGTGCAGGGCTGGTGCCTCTATTCCATGCCTTGAAAATACCGCACAATGGACATGCACTTACTGGCTCTCTCTCCAGTCGCCTCCCTTTTCTACTTTCTTTTTAGTGTGCCAACACTCTGCAAGCACTACACAAATGGCGGCCAGACTCCTCACTGGAGTGAGAAAATACCAACACATTTCTCCAACGCTGGCTGCATTGCATTGGCTGCCCATTTGTTTCCGCGTCAACTTCAAAGTTTTAATGCTTACTTACAAGGCCCTAAACGGTTTAGGACCTTGATATTTGGCAGAACACCTGCTTCCACCAAGGTCTACCCGGATCACCCGTGCGAGTCAAGAGGTGACGCTGAGGAGCGTGACGCCAAGAGAGGCCTGGAAGGAGAAGACACAAAATCGGGCCTTCTCGGCGGTGGCTCCTCGCCTGTGGAACAATTTCCCTCCGGGAATTCGCATGGCCCCTATGCTGGGCATCTTCAAAACCCAATTAAAAACGTGGTTATTTATTCAGGCCTTCCCTCCAGCCAATTCTTGATTTTTTAATTTTTTTCTTACTTTTCCCTATCCTTTATTTCATTGTAGCTATTATTGGATTGTCATGTACTTACCTGTGTTTTATTGTCTGATTTTGTATTGGAAGCCACCTAGAGTGGTCTGGTAGTCCAGATAGGCAGGGAATGAATGAATGAATGAATGAATGAATGATTTGCATGGAGCCAGTGCGTTCTGGCACCAGGATGGATATCTGGGCTTTAAAGACACCTCACATCTAAAAATTACTTTCTCCTCCTCTAATGCTACTTAAAAACAAGATTCGTCTCCCCAGGTGGAGATGTTAAGATGGGATATAATAATAAAATGCAAACCAATATATTCTTCAACCTTTTGTTTCCCACAATGCAAGAATAATGGGCAGTAAAATATAATGAGCAATGTGTTGGGCATCTCACTGTTTCCAGCCCACTATGTTACATTCAACTTCTCACCAGTTCCCACACCTTTCCGTTTTTTCTTTTCAACATTCATTCTTTATTGCATGAGTACGGGGCTCGCACAGTCCTCACTGTGCTGAACTTTGGGGTTTTTGCTTCTTTATGATTCTTTGCTGTTTTTTTTTTAAAAAGCTTGTGTGTGTGTGTGTGTGTGTGTGCATGTGAGCGTGCCTGTGTAGAAGTCTGTAAAAACACATTTCCTCTCTCAAGGTTCTCTTTCCTTTAATTTCTAAATGGCCCCATTTCATAATTAAATTCTGGAGTTATCAATTTAATTTGCTACTAAAAGGAACAATAATTTTCTTTTTTCTATTGCAGGAGGAGCTGCGACTTGAACTAGGAATTTTGCTAGCTTATTGTGCAGCATCTCTCGAAGCAGGACATATCCAGTTCAGGCTCCTGCATGGCTGCTTGTGGCTGGGATGGGGAATGACTCTAGCTTGCTGAAAGTCCACTTGGTGTTTCTGACTCTGGCCAGAGATAGATGCTCACAGAAAGGTCTGGCTTTGATCTTCTGCATTGGCAACAGTCGTGGGGGAATTCCCTTTCAGAGATGTACTTTGGACTGCTGCCAGGAACACCAACCAGCTCCAGGAACACTGTAAGTGCTTGTGCTGGACTCTGCCTTACCTGCTGTGATGCTAAACTGAGATCCTGCCTCATTCTGTCAGCTAAAGCTCTGTAAAATGATGCACAGATAAGTATCACTTTTTTATTATTATGAAATCACAAGTTATGGTTTCCACATTCCTGTTCTTTAGTTGTAGCCTCCATTTTAGATGGTTGGTAGGAGTAGCTGCTAAGCAATAGCTTAGAAGCAAGGCGGATTCAGTAGCTGGTCTTCTTTCCAAGTCTTTGGCGTGGTGATACCACATAAATCACAGATAACTTGAGCCCTGACAAATTATAGGGGAGTTTAAGCACCATTGTTTGCATTGTATCTGCAATAATTTTTCCAAAAATCTAATTTTTTTAGTTCATACATGACCACGGTCAAGCCATTGTGGTTTCATAGACTATTCTGGAGATTTCCCATTTCTGCCTAAACAAAGTTTAGTCAAAAACAAAACAAAAACAAAAAATCCAAACAAAAATGGTAGTTTTGAAGCACTGCCATTGGGACGGGAATAAAGGAGTCACTAAACGAGTAAGTATCCTGCAGCGTTTTTAGGCACTTCTTCCCCAGGATTGGGGGAAAGGCCCCAATTTGGCTTCAGCAGAAGTACTCATAATGTACAGCCTACCTATGATTGCCTAAATCCTTATTTAAATAGCTATATCAGCAATCAAGACTCTGGATCCAGAATTTCTTAAAGTGTGAGTCACACGACACAAGTGGGATTACTGATACAGAAGAGTACAAAACTAGTTAAGCCTGGCTGAAAATAAAATGGCATTTGGGGCTAGGAGAGAAAAGTTCACCAGCTTATACACATTGGAGCTGAAAAGAGGCCAAGTGAGTAGATACTTTCAATGTGCCCCGCCAACACATTTCCAAATTAGAAAGACAAAGAATGAAGATGGACTCGGGAAAGAAAAGGAAAGGTATATTTAAATGCAGTTCAAGCCAGGGTGATGAACAGACATTTGTGGCTTTTGGTTGGCTGGCTGATCAATGGAGCCAGAGTATCCCTTCCCTTCAGTCCACAGCTGTAGCCCTCTAGGCAGTTGGGTCTGTGTGTTCTTTACCTCTAGTAGGCAGGGACTGAGCTCCCTGCAAGCCCTCTTTCTCTGGCTAATGGGCAGGTCAGTGGTTTCTGCATTTTGGCTGGATGCATTCCTAGGAGGCAAAAATAATTTTGCACCCTGACGATATTGTTACAGTCCAGCCTTATCTTTGGCTGGCCCAGCATCATCTGTGCCACAAAGCACTGGCCACCAGCAACGGTTGATTTTTGACAGGGTTATCCACAATCTGATAATGGCTCTGTCTGGAAACTGCCATGTATTTTGTGTACAGCTGTTTGGAAATTTCATTTGGTTCAAAATAACAACAGGATTGGTGATAGTGAATGTAAGCCCCAATTTTTTTAAACTAATGGCAACAGGTGCCCAGTATGTTTCCAAACACAATTCGAGGTCGTTTTTAAGCTATCTAGCCAGAATGGTAAAGCTATGGCTGTAGGTGTTGTTGCACTCCCTTTTTCTGCTCAGATCATTGGGCAATACTGTCATCTTCCAGTGGACTTAGCCACTCTGTGGCCAACAGTTAGGGATGCTAAGATGAGATGCCAACAACACTTTTGCAGGAGCACAATTTCCCTGTCTTGCTTTAAGGGTTCAGAGTCTAAATACTGCAGGGGCAACATTCTCCCTTAAGAAGATGCTCAAGTATGATGCTTTTTATGCCAGGGCCTCCTCTACATTCCCCTGCATTGGAAGGAAAAAAAAGGGGGGGTAACCAGGGATGGGTTCTTCTTTGTGGTGTTCAGGTTTGGAACATTCTTTTCAGGGACTCTAATGCGGTGCACCCTGGGATGTTCCCTTCACGTGTCTTAAACACTTTTTTAAAAGCTCAGGCCTTTATAGCTCTATGACCTGCTATTTATTTTTTAAAATGCATGACCTGTTAATATTCCTTAGTTACTTACTAAATGCAGATGTTTTGTTTTTATGCACTGTTACTTTTTTATTCTTTCATCTTCTTCATACTTCTGTCTAAATCTCTCTGGGAGTCCCCTCTTGGGCTGAGGACTGGTATTCTAAATATGAATAAAATATTTCCTTGTAAATCAGGATATAGCTTTAATGCATACAACCTGAGAAACAGTATATAAATAACAAAATCTGTGATCCTTCCTGGGGGGAAATGCCCCATGTATTTCACATTCTGAAGTAATATTTTTCAAATGTGTTCCTCTACAGAAATAATTCCCAAAGCACTTCTATGGCAATACTGTTCCTAAGAGTCCAATTAAGTCAGTTGATCCATATTCATTCCTTAGGCAAGCTTTTCGTTGGCAGCTCTGGATGTAATTTAGGTTGAGATTAGTTAAAAATGTGAAGAAATAAGGGCAAAAGGGAAAACCCGAGTGCTTGATATCTTTCAGTGCTTTTGCTTGTCTTTCTTGAGAAACACAGGAAGACTTACATTTTTTCAGAGATGCAAGCAAATATACAGAAGGTGAAAATTGAAAGGGAAACTTTAAATTAAAACAATAAGTCTTAGAAACTTTAAATGTGTACATGCATTAGGGAGCTAACCTAAGGCATTTACATTATTCCCTGCTGATATCTGTTATAGTCTGCTATTTGTAGGTGGTGCGGACAACCTCCAAGGTGTCAAAGGACATGTGGGAAGGGTATCACAGAGTCACACAGTCCACTTCTTCTTCCAGCCTTTGCTTGCTATGCCCCATACCATCCATATATATGGTATGTATATAGAAGCGCTTCTCTATATATACATCAATTCACACACATACCAATTGGGACAGGATCTGCTCTCAGATATAGGATCTCTATGTGGATATGTTCAGCCCCTTACTCCACCTACATGTGCCATGGTCGTTAGCAGCTGGAGGATGGGGCTGCCAAGTACAATCCTTCATTATATGTGGTATGTTTAAATAGAAACTAATAAAGAAAATGAAGCTTTATGCCTGTTGTGTCATGAGGAAGTAACCGATAATTTGTACTCTCATTTTTACAAGGAGCTTGGGAACCCCTCTTTTTCTTTCTCCCATGCCCTTTGAAGAGTACCCTTGTGGGAAAGTGGCCACATTTTTAGAATGAACACAGCTCAAATTGGGAGTCACCATGAAATCATGAGTCAGCAGTATGTTCACCAAGATTTGAAAATACACCAACAATTTCTTTTCCGGATGTGAAACATTTTTAATATATGAAAATATATCCCAACTGGGAAAGCTATTTTCTCCCTCTAGGTGGTAACCAAGAACACTCAAAGCTAACCTAGATATTTGTTGAATTCAGTTTCTAAAGTGTAGGTACCCACGTGTGGAAAGCTATATATCAAAGAGAACACTGCAGTTGTCACACTGCACATTTCTGATGTTATTTGTACTAAGAAAAACCACCCCATCTGGTCTGAATTACATTGTAAATTAAAGTTAATGTAAAGCAGAAGTTATCACAAGCAGAGAATAAGGAACACAAAGAAAGAAGAATTCAAACAACAAAAGCATAATAGCAGAAGCGTTAGAGGTACTGTCATAAAAATAACCACATTGCCTTTTTTCATATTACTCCTTAACTTCAAGCAAGTGATTGGTGTTTCTGCTAAAAACTGGCCTTGCAGTCGAAGTAATCCTCCTGTTTAATACCAATGATCTACAAATGAGGATGTACAAAAAAGTAGATGATCTACAATCAAGAGTGGACCAGGAGTGATATTGTAAGAGAATTCAGTATCCTAGTTGGCCAAGCAAGTGTACAAGATGCTACATTAATCAATTACATTGGTTCAGCGTACAGCAACATACTTGGAAAGTTCACCACCTGATCACATGCAGAGGTGGATGAAGTTGCTATGCGTGTTGTCCATTGCCATCACCACCATTCCAGGAATAGACTATGGAACTATACACTACTGCAGACACAAACCTTGGTCACCTTAAGATATGTAATTCTTCCAGCATTCATGACATTTACAGGGACAACCTTTACATAATATTTACGGTAGAGAAACACAAAACAGACACTCTCTTAAATTGGGTGCAAGGTAATGTATACATACTTCTGCACATATATTACTGAAGCTGAGCTTGGCAAATTGAATTATCTTGCGAATTATCCTCTAATCATGCAGTGTCAGCTGTTCACATTCCTTTTAAGAAGCCAATCAGTATGTCATTTATTTCTTTGCTTTTTCTGCTTTTACAGGAGCCTGTAAACAGTTTAAATTTTAAGAAGACCAAAGACATTTGGCTTCATTTGCTACATCAGAAGAAATTACATTTCACTATACAGTACATTGCCTTCCCAAACAGGTCAATAACATTTTAATAGAATGCATTCACATTCAAAATGAGGAAAAAAATGACACCAGCATCTATATTACCTTCAGTCACATAGTTGTGGTCTCGAAGAAAGCCGTGGTTAATTTTCTGTGTGTCTGTGTCCTCGCCCATTTACAGCAGGATTACTCAGCATGCCTATCCGCAGTGGACTGATAGACTCAGCAGAGGTCGTCACAAGAGCACCATCCATGCTGCCACTGCCTAGCAGAGGCAAAAAACAGACTGGGGTATAGTGTGCAGCATAATGAGAGCTACTGATGCAGCAAAGAATTGGATGTGAATGATAGTTGGTAGGATTTTTTTTTAAGGGATGGCAGGAGAAAGCTAGCAGAAGAGAAGCTCCAAAAATCAGCAATGCAAAATTCAGAAAGCCAGAAAGGGTCCAAATAGAGAGGAAAGCAGTACTGCGGTCATGATGAAATTCTTTGGCCAGCTGCTCCTTCAACAAGCTTCTGTGAAGAGGCTGATTCAAGCGGTTGCTGCGGAGAAATCTTGCTGGATGTGAAAAAGGAAGTGGCAGGCACCAGACTGCAGCAAACGTGGCTTGGTAGGAGCTCACGGATTGCTGTTGCAGCTACTGCTGTCATCTGCCTGTGCTGCATTTGAGCAAGCCCCTCCCAGCCAGTCTTTTGCCATCCAACCAGACAAGATTTGCATGGAAGTAAAACTGAAAAATGAGAATGCAGGTAATCATTTCAGCTCTTGTGCCTGGAAGCAAAGGGCCTGTGATTTTAAACAGAAAAGAAAAATGACAGAATTGTGAATTTTTTTTAAAATGTTTCTCTTTGGCAGTAGGTAATCTTTTCATAAGCAGCCAAAATCAAATAAGTCATTTAAGAATGTCCTTCGCAATAGAAATGTCAGAGACACAACCTATAACCTGACCATGCACAACTGAAGTACTACAGATTAGGACAATTTGATTAGATACCATTCTGTCAGCCTCAGTTGCCCTGTCTTGTGATCACTTCTTTTCCCCTTGTATAAGACCATTCAAGCAAAGGCAAACCAAACTAGGCTTTTAGTCTCTACAAAGAAAAGCAAAAGTATTTATTTACTGTAAGGTTAGTTTCTCACCATTCCATCATAGCATATAAGGTAAGCATCCTGTGGAACCACAGAAAGAAAAGTTCAGATGATCTATTTTTATATGACTACTGAATACTGCAAAATAAGGACAGTTAGACATAACCCAACAGTTATTTGCTAAAAACCAATGTTCTTCGCAGTCATCATCCTCTTGGAACTGCAGAGCTGGAAGGGACCCTATGGATCATCACCCTGTCAGATATCTAAAGCACTGAGCTCGTAATAATGCTCATTGGATCCACGTGTTCCTCCTCCTAACTTTGGGGTGGGGTGGGATGCTAGTTTGGCAAGAGTAAGGATGAAGCATTTTGGGAATCCTCACAACAGCAGGTAGGAGGATACAATAAGATAAAAACTAGAGGGAGAAATGGATACTTAGCGTGTAGTTTCCTGTCAGTTCAGAAGCAGATGTACAGAAAAGGAAAAATCCAAGTTGAGGTCCAACAACTCTTGAATAAGATGCTTGGTGGAAACAATGTCATAATTTCCAAGTAAAATGTGAAATTCAAGTGAAGTCAAGTTTTGATGTAAAAAAAAGGTAAACAGGATTGTGACTCTATAAAGTCTGAACAGTACTTCTTTTTCTTGTTCCCCTCATACTAGAGATTGGGTGTCGTCATGGCCATTCCAGTGCTAGGCCTGGGAGCTACAAACAATGTTGTATTGCATCTGAACTAAACCCCACTCTGTAAAATCAAAATGACTTCTCCAGCTGAATCTTCTTCAGTGGTAGAAGAATGGATGAAACAGGGAAATTCAAAGGCTTCCCTTTGAAATACAAAGCTGTTGTATTTGAGCTATTTCCCTGCATCCAGAACACAGGTTCTTCTTTAGTTTTTAGCAAGTTAAATGCTCTAGTAATTCAATGAAATTACAGGAGACTTGCTTTTTAAGCTTAGAGAAAGCCCATTTTGTACGCATAAAAATAAGTTTTTAATTCCTGTCTAAGTCAGTCATTCAAGCAGATTATGCCACAACGAAGGCTTAGTGCCACACTGAGAATCCTTTTGCAGATGCTCTTTCCACAATAAAAATTTTCACAAAGTTGATCTCTGCAAACAGAAAGACTGGTGAAACAACTCTTTTTTCTTCTTTGCCTTTGTCCCCCAAGTTATACTAAGGATCTCCCTCTCCCTTGGGAATGAGGTGTGCAAGCACTGCTGCTGAAAGAAAGGTAAAACCATTCATATCCATGGAGAAACCAGCCAGTTGATGAAAGTGTTTCAGCAAAGCATTTCTCATGCGGTGCAGCTGGTGCTCCATTTCTCAGAAAGAAAGAAAGAAAGAAAGAGAAAGCAGGTGTGACAGGTGAGAGATGGAAAACACACATATAGAATGGGGTGCAAAATGTGGTAGCCCAGTTGTTGCTGGGAGCTGGGCACTGACCTAGGCTATCCTTATCTGGGCAGAATCATATATCTGCCTAAGCAGATAAAAGGTGCTTTGGGACAGTTAGGCCACCTGTGACTGTAGTGACAATGATGGTTGAAAAAGCAGCTCCAAACTATGAATGTGGTCCTTTTGATGAACATCACTTAAGGCAGGATAAACCATCTACAGCAAACCTGTCTTGTTTGGATGGAGTCTCAGTTTATTGGCTGCTATTCTGCCAACAACCCTGCCTAAATCTGGTTCAGACCATCAACTGTCTCATCTGTATTGTACTGGTGACACTTTGGTCCACATTCCCAGCTAATCTCCCCCCCCCCCCAGTGATTTCCTGGCAATCTTAAAAAGCTCTAGGAAGACTAGAGCTCCAAGGAATCCCATAGCACTGCTGCTACAGGGAAGAATAATAATCCTCCTGCACCGTCACCTGGAAATAGCCCACCGAGTAGAGGAATGGAGTCACTCTGATAGAGTGCCCCATACTTCCCAATGGTAGACTGCTGGTATGGAAGGCTACCGAAAAGTCTCTCTCTCTCTCTCTCTCTCTCTCTCTCAACTTGGATGGGTTGTACTTCAAATGGATTCAAAATCCAGTCTGGCATACTCAGGTTTAAAAGGTCATTAAATCTTCCTTGCATATCCTTGGCTATCTGCTTGAGATGCTTCACATAAACGCATAAGATCATCATCCTTCAGTGCTTCTATGATCGTCCTCAGGTTTGGAAATTGTAAAAATTCCCAATGCCCTATTTTGTGCAAACAGACTTCAAGTTTCTTAAGGAAACTTACTATCCTTACTATCTAAGAAGTTACTGTTTTTGCCCTGTAAGGTTTTGTTTAACAAATTAAGTATATGGAAAAATAGCTGCCAGATAAAAATATGTCAGCCTTAGCATCTACAAACTTTCTTCCATGCTCTTTATCAGACATGGTGTCCCAGAGTGCAGCAAAATGCTGAAGGAAAGCCACCTAACCTCAGTGTGCAGGACCAGCATCTGGAAGACTTCATTATTTCCTTCACATAGATGCCAGAAAAGATGATAATGAAGAGCATGGGATGTGATGACGTTTACGGCCTTTATGACAACTGAAAGTGAAATACTTAGACATCCTCCCAAGTTCTTAGATATTAGGTACTCCCTGTGAATGATACAATAAATAGTAAAGACTATCTTTAAATGGTAGATAAATCCTGTGTATTGACCAACCATAGAAGCATTACCATCAGTTGCACAAGCAATTATATTCTCACTTACTTGACTTTTGACTTCTTAAAAAATAGACAGTCCTTTAGTATCTCTTTTAATCCTCCTGGCAAACAACAGCTCTTCCATTAGTTTGTTACCATTACAGAATCTCACATAAGCCATGAGAAGAGCATTGTTATCTTCTAAAGCAGTTTCATCTTATTGTAAAGAGAATTTCTTGGATTCAATGTCATGTGCCATCTCGTAGCTTCTTCTGGCGACGGTTATTCAAAGGAACTGCTTGAATTTTTTCTTTGTCATTCAAATTAATGACGTCACAAATTATTATAGACACAGAAGGTGGGATAAGCAACTGTGGGCGTGACCAGCCAGGAGGGCTGCAGATCTGGTGACGGCTGGCTTCCCTGGCACAAACTCCATAGGCTCAACTTCAGGGTTTAAATATATTGTTGTTTTATTTACAGTTGCACTTCAGGTTTACAGAATCCCTGCAGCCTTGGAGGAAGCAGGTTGAGTGGCATACACTAGTCCTCAGGTACCATCTCCCTCAATGGGATCCTCAGTTATCTTCACTGAAGGCACCACAGGTCAGGTCCACCAACACGAGACTTTGCCTGGCTCAAAGAGGGTTTAATATTGTCCATGATATGGATACCAGGATGACAACTGGAAGGAGGCTCCACTGGCAGCATGTAGTAGTCCTTTGAGGGGAGGAATGTCACACAGCCCTCCCGAGTCCCTCAGGTGGCAGCAGCATAGGTCCCTTCTTCTGCTTTGTCTTCTTTTATCGCCTAGCAGCCTCCTAAAGCCCTGTCTTCACTCCTTTTTATCTGCCTCAGGCAGATGTTCCTCATGATCCTGCTGTACCTTCCCCAGCTGCCTCAGCTCCGTTTCCCTGTGCCTTAGCCTTTTCCCAGGCAGAGCTCTCTCAGCCATTTTAAAGAGTACTGACAGCTCACCATGAGCAAGCCAGCTACCTGGCATGCCCACCCCGTCATGGTGACTCACCAATGTTGTGAGCATTTCCAGTTTTAGCAATCAGCTTACTAATTTTGTATGATACAAGACCCTTGTCTATTTTCTGTGATGTTTGAGCAAGAATTTGTGTCAGTGCTGGCCTGCTCTCAAAATTCCCTCAAAGAGTTGTGAAGAAATACAAGGGTTTATCTTCTCTGGATACAAAATATCGAAATGTTTTTTTTCAATATGTTTGGCCTCATACTTTTTAGTTGAAAATGTAGTCATGCAGTTCAATTACATAGGCAAAAATGGATTTTTCAGAGATGCAATGAAACCATATTCCACTGAATACTGCCAACACTTCACTAAGGAGCCCATGGGTAGAATTATTTCCGAAATTAATTTAAAAAAGGATTTTTGAAAAAAAGAAAAAGAAAAGAATGTTTAAGTACATTGTATAAGTCAAGAAATTTGGGTCTTAAAATTTATCCTAAAAACCTGGGTTGACTTCTTCAGGAGTGTGTATGGCAAACAAGCGAACAAGCAAATAAGCAAGTAAATAAGCAAACAAACAAACAATGACTCTGGACTGACCAAAGTTTTATGTTCTTGATCTATATGAACCTCTTCCAGTTTCTCCATTATATGTTACCCAAAAGAAGTGCACAGTCTGATTAATCATCATCATCATGTGTTGTCAAGTCAATTCTGACAGATGGTGACCCTTTTCAGGCTTCTTGAGGTAGAGAATACTCAGAAGTGGTTTCTCCATTTCTTCTTCTGGGGATGCCCCGGGACTGGGCAGCTCGCCCAAGGCCACACAAGGCTAACTCTACTCATAGGAGGCACAGTGGGGGAATTGAACTCCCAACCTCTGGCTCTGCAACCAGATACCTAAGACACTGAGCAATCTAGCAACCATTTAAGTTGTGGTTGATAACTAGTTTGTGTTA